CATAGGTGTCACTTCACTTGTGTCCGTACCACTTGTTGGTGGTGGGGCAGGTGACGGATGATGCGGCATCGTAGCAGGATGGCCAGTAGGTGCACCACCAGCCCCGCTCAATTGAGATAACATCATTTCACTTGGACCACCTAGTTCATGAGCAGGCGAATGTGTCGGTGTCCCGTGTGGTGGATGATGATGGGGCGATGGTACTGGACCAGAACGGGGCGAAGGAACTGGTTGATTACGTGGCGATGGGACCGGCCTCGGTGAAGGATTTGGTTGCGGCGATCTAATTGGTGGAGGTGAACGAACAGATTGCATAAGCTGTTGTTGCACGGATATACCTGGGGGTCCCATAACGCCTTGGGGCGAAGGTACTGGCGGTGGCGTTGGCTTCAATCCTGGCTGACCATAACTTTGCTCGTTAAATCCACCATAACCTAAATAATGGTGATGATGATTATTACAATAATCGTGAATGATCGTTGTATTAATTTGATAACAATAAAAATTTTAAAACAAAAAAAAATAGGAGAAGGAAGATGAGCTCTAATATCAACAGCAAGAAAAAAAGAAAAAAGAAAAAAATCAAACCAAATTTCTTTACCAAGAAGAGATGGCCTGATGGGTCTCTGTTGGCCGTATGGTGGTGCAGGTGGTTGCGTGAAAGGTTGTTGCTGTTGTTGTTGTTGCTGCTGCTGCTGTTGAGCCTGTTGTTGTTGCTGTTGCCTTTGCATAACCAACATTTGTTGCTTATACCATTGCGTTTGCTGTTGAACCGTCTGCTGTTGCTGCTGTTGTTGTTGCTGCTGCTGCTGCTGGTTCAACATTGCTTGTATTTGCATCCTACCCGGCTGCTGCTGCTGCTGAGGATGTTGCTGCTGCTGCTGCTGCTGTTGCTGCTGCTGCTGCTGTGACATCATATGCTGCAAATCAGGTTGTTGTTGTTGAGGCTGATTAGGACCCAATGGTCCACTTACTCCACCGCCGTGCTGACCAGTTTGTTGCTGAAGGGCAAGTGCCTTTTTATTAAGAAGACCAAGAAGGTAATAGAAATCAATAAATCATATAAGAAAGTGTGTTGAGAAAAAATAATTATTATTATTATTATTATTATTATTATTATTATTATTATTATTATTATTATTAATATTATTATTATTATTACTATTAATATTATTATTATTAATACTATTATCATTATTATTATTATTACTATCATTATCATCATTTTAAAATATTCTTTAAATAACAAATAACATACCCGTTGCTTTATAAAAGCGGCCATTAAAGGTGGATTACTCTTGAGTATTTGTAGTATTTGGTTTTGCTGTTCAGGAGTATGAGGACTTCTGAGTGTTTGCATTAATTGCTGCAAGGCATGCTTGTGCATATTGCTTTGAGCCTGAGCAGGTGCCACTTGACCTACCGGACCTCCGATAACACCTGGCTGCCTTGGCATTTGACCACCCATTGCCATAGTCGGTTGACCCTGATGTTGTTGCTGTTGTTGCATCAATTGTTGCGGCGTTTGTTGCCTCAATCCAGGATTTTGTTGCATCACAGCGTTAGGTTGGTACCTACTGTAAACGAAAAAAAAAAGAAAAAAAAAAAAAAAAAAAAAAAAAGAATAAAAAAAAATAAAACAAAAATAAAGAATGATAAGTCAATATCAAATATCGGTGTCTTATTAAGAAAATCGATCATATTGAAAATTTTTTGGATACTATACCTGCCGGTCCACTGATCCATAGGAATAAGATGTGTACCAGCTGGATTTGGCATTTGCACAGGCATCGGTCTTTGCATTTGTGGAGGTGGCATAACACCGCCTGCCTGACCACTTACACCAACACCACCACCTGGTGTTACTTTACCATAACCAACATGCGGTGCTTGTTGCCTAGCGGCTTCCTCTTGCACCTGTTTAACAACTTGCAAAACATGTGCCGGTGGTGTCTGCGTGCCAGGCTTCAAACCAATTCCTGGTTGATGCGGTGATGGTAAATTCGTTGGACTAACACCAGGTTTTATAGGAACACCGGCAACTATTGCAACGTTTGAAGTTTGTTGTCCTGCTTGCATAGCTCCAACTGGTCCAGTAGGTCGTGTATTCATCACAGCCATTCTCCTCCTATGTATATATGATTAAATCAATTATTACATAGGAAAATATTAATTTTATTTCCAATTATAATTTTATATATATATTAACCTTAACAGTTGTGCTTGCTGCAAACGTTGCTGAAGCTGCTGTTGTTTTAATTTATGTTTGATATTAGAACAGAATGGTACAAGACACTTGGTTTCTTGGCAGTGCTTCGTATGATAACAACAGCACAACGTTATCACTTGCTTGCAAATTGGACAACCACCACTTGTCATTCTCTTACAGACTTTAGTATGCGTTACTACTCTCTTCATCTTTTGACAACTTGGTAACCGACAATTAGCATCTCTACATTGGCAAGCATGTACCAATGATTGAATACATCTTTGTATCAAGAGTTTTCTTGCTTCCTATATTTATTTTTTGTTTTTTTTTTTAAATAAACAAAAACAATCATTTTGTTAATTCACGTTCTTTATTTTGTTGAAGGGGGAAAAAAAAAGAGAGAAAAGAAAAGATAAGATAATCTTTTTTTTTTTTTTTTATTTACCTGTGGATTAACTTGTTTTGCATCAACTGGCGATGATCCATCGTCCAAATCTAAACCAAGTTTCTCCATATGATGAGGATGTCCATCCTTTTCTTTACAACTGATGCATAAATCAAAATCCTAAAAGAAAATTTGTTAAAGTTTTATTACACACACATATATATATATATATATATATATATAAAAAGAAAAAGAAAAATTGTATCACTTACATCACAGACAGTACAATGGTATCTCGTTTCAACGTGACTCTTACAATTATTACAAGTATAAACGAATTTGTCTTGACCTTGATTATGTAATTCATATAACATTGACATCGAGCTAAACTTCGCTCGTCTTAACGATGAGAACTCGTAATGTTTTTCTCTAGCCATTGTTAAGAAAGCATCACGTCCATCCATAAGATCACAATTAATAACAGGATCTGGATCTTGAATTGGCTGAAAAAGAAAAAGAAAAAAAAATAAATAAATTACAATGAATTAAAATGTTCAATAAATTTTGATCTTTAAATTGATTGATATTTAGAAGATAATAAATGTTCCTTTTTTTTTCTCTCCCTTTTTTCTTTGTATTTTTATTTTTTTTTTTTTTTTTTTTTTTTTTTTTTGTTTTTGTTTATATACTTACTGCTAAACTGGCTGCACTTTGAGCGCTATGCAACCTAATTACGAAGAAAACTTCCTTGTGTTTCTCCATGGTCGCAAATATTTTAGCAGAGAGATCATTACCAGTTTGAGGAGTGTTAGACTTTTTACTATTTTTTCTTTGATTCGCTTTAGATTTATTAGACTTCTTAGCCTTTTTCTGTCCTTTCTTCTTACCATCCGGACCAGTTTCTGAATCTTCATTCAACGAAAAGATCTGAAGAAAAAAGAAAGAAAAAAAAAATACAATCGTTATACATATATATATATATGTGTGTGTTCCAACGAGAAGAAATATAATTATTTACAAAATGTTATTATTAAGAAATGAAAAATGAAACTTACAGCATTTGCTGCAGCTGCGGCAGCCTCTGCAGCTTCAGCTTGTTTACGTTTCTCTTCCTCTTCTTGATCCAATTCTTTAATACTTTCTTCCAACACATTCGGCCAAAAGTCACCCTCAAAATATGGCAAATCTGCTGCCGAGGATAATTTATCCTCCATCGCTTGTTTCAAAATATCCTATATGCATAGAAAATAAATAAATAAACAATAATAATAATAATAATAATAGTAGTAATAATAAAATAAAAAAATCATGAATAATGATACAACAATCATTTTATTTTTCATAATATAAAATTATTAAATAATGTTTGTCTGACAATCCTCTGTTCTAATTGATCAATGCGATAAGAACAATAGCTTCTTCAGACAATTTACTTTAAGTCTCATCTGACATCTGACTACGATCATTTCGTTGGACAGATAACACTTGAGACTACAAATAATATATTAAATCTCTTAGATATTTGTGAAGAAAAAAAAAGAAACAAAAAAAAATAAATAAATAAATAAAATAATAAAAAAAAAAAAAAAAAAAAAAAAAAAAAAAAAAAAAAAAAAAAAAAAGAAAGCAACAGCATACCTTGTAATCGAGTACTATTCTTTCCATAATTCCTTTGTCCAACATTTTCTTATACCACTCTTGCAATCGCTTAGGCTTAGGAATTTTTTGTTCTTGAGGATGGCAGTGGAATATATAATCATCTCCTTCCGATGGTGGACAAGCCCAAATATGAGCCATAGTATAACTATATATAAATTATATTCAATATATATATATAGAGAAAGAGAGATTAGGAAATAATATAATTGATTAAATTCTAAGGATTAATTTCTAAAAAAAAAAAAAAAAAAAAAAAAAAGAGAGAGAGAAAGTATATATATATTACTAACCCAAGTTGTTTAGCGTAGTCTAAATATCCAAGAAGTATTTCATGATAAACAGCAGTACGAAATTGTCTAGGCCGGAAGAAATGTACAGAATCCAAGTACGCTATGTAAACTCTTCTTGTATTTGGTGGAGTGCATTCGCTTCCATATTCTTGTACGTGCATACCAAAAAAACATACGTCCGTACCGTCGACCTCTTCAAATGCAAATAATGCCTTAGCACGGTATGGAAATTCACCAGGCATATCACCATTCTCTACGAATCTACTTCTCATTCCTGGTTTAACTTCTACTACTTTATCACTAGATGCAACAACTCTAATGGCTACCTCACCGGCGCCAGCTTCCTTCTTCTTAAGAAAATTGTTCACGCGCGTTTCAATATACGTTCCTAATTTTGTTACCGGCAAACGTTTGGCGTTAAACTTATTCTCTTTACGCTTCTGTCCTTTCTTCTTTA